TATAATTATCGATCAATTTCTGCTTTCATTTCTCAGTTTTTGCTTCATTTATTTTGAAGTCCTTTTATTAGGTACATAAACTTTTAGGATTATTAAGCAATCTTGAACTAATTTTTTTCTTTCCTTTCTTTTCTTTTTTTTTATGATTCTGAAATGATCCTTTTTATCTGTGGTAATCTTTATCCTAGAATCTCTATTTTCTGATATTAGTATAGTGACTCCAGCTTTCTTTTGATTAGTGCTGGCATGGCTTAATGTTTTTCCATTCTTTATTTTATACCTATCTGTGCCTGTATATTTAAAGGGGATTTCTTTTGGGATTTCTTTTCTTCCTAAAGTTACTCCTTTAACATTTCTTGTGGTACATGTCTTGTACTGATAAATTGGCTGTTTTTTGGCTGTTTTATATCTGACATATTGTTTGGCCTTTTGAAAGATACTTTTACTAGGTCTAAAACTCTAGATTGATTTTTTTCCCCCTTTTCGTATTTTACAGATGTTGCTTAACTGTCTTGCATTATTTCCTGTGTGAAATCTCTAGTATTTCTTACTTTTGGTCCTCTAAGTAGTGTGTCGTTTTTCTTTGCTTATAATACGATTTTTGTTTTTTGTCATTAGTTTTTACCAATTAGATTGTGATATACCTTGGTGTAGTTTTCTTCATGTTTTTCCTCCACTGGGTTTGTTTGTTGAGCTCTTTGGATTTGTGAGTATATATTTTCACTTAATTTGGGAAAAAAAGTCAGTCATTATTTTTTCAAAAATGTTTTTGTCCCTCCCTCTCTTTCCCTTGTATTGGAGACTCAAACTACATGCATATTAGGCCACTATAAAGTTGTTTTATAATTCACTAATGGTTCTGTTCTTTTTTGGTGTTTGTTTTAGGCTCTTTCTCTGTTTTATTTTTAATTTTCTGTGTTTTGAGGTACCCTAAAATCCTCTTTTGCAAGGCTTAATCTGCTAATACTGTCTACCATCTCAGACATTGTACTTTTCATTTCTTTGATTTGGGTCATTATCTTTCCTGTTTGTTCTATTTAGCATACTCCTGCTTTTCTCTACCTTCTTGGGTATCTATAATGTAGTTAAAACTGTTGAAGATTTTTTAAGGAATTCTATTATTTGCCATTTTTGTATTTCTCTGGATTTTCATCTTTATTATGAATCTTATTTTCCTGTCTCTCTGCATGCCTGGTATAGTTTGATTGGATACCAGACACTATGCATTCTAACTATTGTGTGCTAGATAATTTTATTTTCTTAAACATTCTTGATTTGTTCTAAGATGTAGTTAAATTACTTGAAAACAGTTTAATTTTGTCATGGTTTGCTTGTAAGCTTTGTAAGGCAGAACCAAAACAGACTTTAGCCTAGATTTAATTTGGTTCTACTACTGGGGCATTAGTCTTCAGCATGTATATGTGTATATGTATGTATGTATGTACATACATATATATTTTGATGATAACTTTTATAGGACAAGGTTTTCCACTCTTGCTGGTCAGAAACAGGACTATTCCCAGCCTTGTGTGAGTTCCAAGATTGTTTTGCATGTTCTGTTCTCATGGGTCCTCAGCTTTTGGTGGTTTTCTCACATACGTGCAACTGTCATACTCAGCTGATTACACTGATTCTCTAGGTTTATTCTCTGTAGATTTCTCTCTTTTCCACGTATTTCTTTCCTCTTTGATACTGTACCTTGTGAATTATAGGTACCTTTGCCTCCCCCGACTTAACCCCTCTATCTCAGATTGGGGGCAATGTTGGACTCCATTTGGTTCTCCATCCTTGCTGTGTAGCCTGAAAAATCTTCAGAGAGTAAGACTGGACAGCTAAAGAGATTTTCTCATTTGTTTCCCTTCTTGCAAGTATGACTGTCTTTTAGTGTCTATTTGATGTCTGAATATCATCGTTTCATGTATTTTTTTGTCCAGTTTTTACCTAACGTAGAAAGTAAGTCCTGCCACTGTTACTCCATGTTAGCTAGAGGCAGAAATCCTCTTTCAGTGTCTTAAAAGTTGTATTGTTGCTTTTTTAAAATTTTGCTTTGAGAAGTGTGGTGCTACTCTTATTCTGTTTCCCATATACTATTTGAAATTTTTTTTTTAATGTTTATTTATTTTTGACAGAGAGATGGAGCATGAGTGGGGGAGGGGCAGAGAGAGAGGGAGACACAGAATCCAAAGCAGCTCCAGGCTCTGAGCTGTCAGCACAGAGCCCAACGTGGGGCTCAAACTTACAGACCCTGAGATCATGACCTGAGCTGAAGTCGGATGCTCAACCAACTGAGCCACCCAGGCGCCCCTCCCATATACTATTTGATCTTAGCAGTTGTGGACTTTTTATTGTTAAGGTCTGCATATTAAGATAGCTCTTAGAGTGGATCGTTAGAAGTCATTTCTCACATGTTCAGTTGGCTCTTTTCCTTATGTGAATTGCCAGAAAATATACTTGGACTGTAATTTAAAATATTTTTTCTGCTATCTTATTTTCAAGTTCTCCAGTTCTTTGTGTATTGTATTGTCTTTACCTGTTTCCACTTCAGTTGCTTTTTTCTGATGGTTTTTAATTTTTTTCTCATTTGGTGATTTTTCTGGCTTTTTGTTTGCCTCTTAAGAAACTTAAAAAATATTTTATTGGAGTAAAGTATACATAACCTTTGCCAGTTTAACCATTTTATTTTAAGTAATCACTACCCCAGCTTGGGGCTTGAACTCACAACCCTGAGATCAAGAGTCATGCAGTCTACCAATTGAGCCATTCAGGCACCCCACCTCTTATGAAATTTTTATTTTGCTCTGTTCTTCCTGGAGCACCTATTAATTTATTCCATTCTGGTATTTTTTCTTTTTCTGAAGTAAAATTTTTTTCCTTACAATTTCTGTTCTTGGTTTTTGAATTTCTGAATATTAGTACAAATACTTACTTAATGATAATATAATTCAGTATTGTAATTTGTTTATGCCTGTGTTTTTTGTTTGCACAGGTGATTTGTTATCACTTGAAATGTTTTCTTTCATTCTGGTTTTGACTCCTAGCTTGATATTGATGAAACCAATATCTTGGTGAATTTGGTTGTTGACAATAGTTTATAAAATTCCTAGCTTAAGTATAATTTCTTCTGTAGGTGAAGCAAATTGCAGTTTATTTAGTGGATAATTTTTTAGTAGTGTTGAGGGAGGAGTTGAGTGTTTTTATTTTGTTATGTAAGCTCCTCCATTTCTCACTCTTAATTTTTCCTCCTAACATCCATTTTCCAAAGGAAGGCTCTACCTGCCTTTTTTATCATCTATTCATATATTTCTTTTCCAAGGTGAGCCTCTTGACTTTTGTGTTTATACTAAGCCCCCCTACCCGTAGTCAGTGCTCTGATATACCAAACTCTTTATTATTATTTTAACACTTAGTCCAATTCCTCTTCTCTCTTCCATGCTTTTTTTTCTGAACCCCCTAGTTCTTTAAGAGGACTTGCTATGGAAGTCCCAGGGTAGAAGCCACTAGAAAGTGGTTTTTATTTTTCTTCCTAGGTAGCTTGAAGTTTAAGGTGCGCTCTCTCTGATTTTTCTGGAGACATGGGATTTTTGTGGTTTTAATTTGTTCCTAATATTGATCTATTTGGGAGGATGAGTGGAGAGATTCAGATTTAGGCAACTCTCTGTACCTTGTTCCCTGCAACCTGGAAGTTCTTCTTGAGAACAATTAACATTTTTTATATGCTTCAACTAAAAAAAGCTAATTTTGAACATTTTCTTGAATCAGAAAAATATTGTGACATGTAACATGGCATTTGACCTTTTAAAATGGCTGGATTTTGCACATAAGGGACTTTGGAATTTTATTCTTTCAGATAACAGATCGGTAGAGTAGTTTTACTATTTTTCATGTAAATTTTGAATTCCAGATTGTTCTTACACCTATGTGTGGGATGTCTATAAAGTTAGGTTAAAGTTACTACATAATATCTTCTAGTGCTTTAATGAAATAGTGAATTATTGTTACTTGACCTTTTGAAAAGGTCAGTAGTACATTTTGTTTCATTTTTTTAAAGGACATTTAAATGTAATGAAAGTCAGAACTGTAATATTATCATGAAAGTAAAGGTTATGGGGTACATTTAATTGTGTTCCTCTAGTTTTGAATCTGCTTTGAGGGAGCCTGTGCTAAAATTCTCATGGTGATTATTTTTCGAGAATTTTATTACTCTTTTTCATTTTATATTGTTGGAGTAAAAGATTATATTTCTGTTTGTCTTTTTCTGCTTACCTTTGCTCAGATCATGTGTATTATCCTATTTAAGATATAAAGTTTAAGCTGCTTACCCATTCACTTTCTCAAGAAAGAAACTGAATATTTTTTTCAGAGAACAGTTCTTTCCTAAGAAAGACTCTTGAGTAAAACTTGGTATATTCAAATGTATAGCTTGTGAATATTTAAAATAAATATTAGTGACTTTATTCATTAACGGCACATGAATGTGGGAGAATTAAATATTTTGTTTTATGAAAATATTTCTCTCATGTCTGTATGTTCAGATTATGGAACTAAATATATTTTCATTTTATTAAAATTAGGAAATTGAAAATTAAACAAAGCTGGTAATGTATCAGATGCTCTTATTTTACATTGTGATTTTTTCTTCCATAATCAAAGCAATTGAAGGAATTTCTTCACAGACTTATTTTCTAAGAAATACTTAAATTTCCTTGTTTACATTAACAATTTCTTAATATTTCTTCTGACATGAGTTGATTCTAAGACTCTTTGTTTTGATTTCCCAGTAATTACAAAGTTTCTGACATTTTTAAGTTATTTTTCCTCAAATGCAATATTTTATTCTATACATTTTAACAAATGTAAAGATTTGGATGAAGTTAATACCTTTTAGAAGATAAAGGAAAAACCTTGCTGTTTCTATGTGAGTTTTTTAAGTTTAACTTTTTTTTTTTTAACATTAAGCAAAAGATGAAAATTTGAGTGAACCTTTTCAATATTTTCCACAGGGACGAGATTTTCACCTTAGAATAGAGTTGCCTGAAGATTTACAAATGAAGAATGCAAGGTGATGTGGTGTTTTGTTATATACATGCATCTTGGTAGGATGGACAGTCATTTAATCTGGTAAAAGCTGATGCTAGCAATTAGTTTTGCCTAAAGTGCTTATTAGCCAGCCAGAAATGTTTCCGGTTTTTTCAAATCAGCGTACATTTGTAAATTATTTTCCCTTGTGCTGAAGTACTTTTCAAAGGTAAAACATTAATTCTCTAATTTTTTTTCTCATTAAAGTAGTAAATAGCAATTGTGTAATGTACCTCTTGGTACAGACAGCCCTTCAAGGAGTATCAAGAGATGAGACTGGAAAGTAGGCAGCATCTACAAATCTCATTTCTGTTCTTAAACATCTCTGGGAGTAGAGTGGACAAAGAATCCAGAGACATTGTTAGTAGAATTGACTGGATTTTGTGACTAATTAGAAGTAGGAGATCGAGGAAAAGAGTTGTGAAGGATGCTTTCCAACTTCTGGCAACACTAAGCTAGAGAAGAGGTTAAAGTGGAGAAGTAAGAGAGCCATCATTTAGAGATGTTGTCAGGTGTGAAGTATCAAGAGGAGATGTTTAGTGTATTGGCGTTGAAATCAAGTGTGAGACATGCAAGTCACAGTAGGCATGGGATTTGGGCCTGTTAGTATGGATACTTTCCAGTTTCTGCAAGTGCGGGGTGAAAAGAGAAAGCCAATGTTTAAAAGACTTGAGAGTATACCAACATTTACAGGACTGGTAAATAAAGAGGAACTTGGAAGAAGAGTAAGGACTGACCAGAGAAGTAAGAGGAAAATCTGGACGACAATTATCACTAAAGCTATGAAGAGGCTTAATGAGAAAATGGTTCACTGAGTATTGCAGAGGGATCAGGTTAAATATGAATAGGTTTCGTGTAGTGGCAGAAAGCAAATTGTATTGGGTTTGGGAGTGGGTAAGGGAGTAGAAAGAAAACATAAACAGGATAAAGTACATCTGACCCTTGAAGAACCCAGGATTAAGGGGTACCAATCCGTCATGCACTTAAACATTTGCATGTAACTTTTGGCTCTCCCAAAACCGTTGACCAGAAACCTTATCACTAACATGAACAAGTTGTTTAACACTTGTATACTGCATGTTGTATGTATTATATACTGTATTCTTAAAGCAAACTAGAGAGAATGTATTAAGAAAATCATAAGAGGAAGTGGCGTTTATAGTACCGTATGTATATTTATTGAAATAATCTGTAAGTGGACCTGTGCAGTTCAACCAGTGTTGTGCAAATGTCAATTCTATTTTGAAAAAAAAGGAGTGGCTAGAGAAGGGTAATGCAGTCAAAGAAGAGTTGTAATGATCTTGTTTTTTTAAGTTGAGATTTACTTGGGCAAGTTAATATATTAAGTTGAAAAAACTAGCAGAAAATAAAGATATCATAGTAAAGTGATAATGAATTGGTCAACTTGGCAAGGGATGGAACGTACATTTGGAGAAGAAGTTTTCTTGTGGGCAGTTGAATGAGCTACTTTGTTATTAAGAGAGGAAATAGGGGGGAAATGGAGGTTAGCAGACCAAAAATGGGAGAGAGTCATGATGTCCTGAAGGGGCTATAATTGGGGAAACTCAGAGGTGCTTCCTACTTCAAGGTAAGGAAAAGCACATCTTAGAAGAGTTACTCATCTAAGCAATATCAAGAGCACAGCTGAGGTGAGCCAGTGGATAGACGAACACTAACTTATTACTACTTATATAATTCAAAGTACCTTTTACAGTAATCTTTAATTTGAAGATTATATCATTACATATGCTTTCTCAAATACAAGTTCTGTACATTATGATCAAAACTGTTGGTTTTCTTTAACCTAACTTGGAGAAGAATCTAGTTCAATAGCAAATTTTGCTTTGGATATGGTTAAAAAAAAAAAAAAAAGATTTACTGTTTGCATGTCATTTACTGATTGCAGTTATTTATATTTTGAAATAAAATTAGTCCCGACAGTTTGAAGACAAGACTTTCAACAGTATCAGTGGTAAAAAATTTTATTAACTTGTCAGAATTATATTTATGTCATTCTTTTCTATGTACATGCGTGTTTGTGCTAGCATACAAATAAGTTTTTTCCTTTTAATTCTGAACAATAAAGAAACCATTTTGTTCCATTAAATTTTAGATTATTATGTAGTTGGCAACTGAAAACAATACTTAATGGATACCATCAAATAGTACAACAGGTAAGTCCTTTAAAAAGTTTGTTTTAAGCAAGGATAAGAAATTACAAAGTTAACTCTTTTTTAGAGGACTGTTTGCAGAACGTTGTAACAAACTGGTTTAATAGTTGCTGACTTTTGTAGGTTTCATTTCTATTAAATATTTTAAGGATCCATGCATTATAGAAAGTGTTTTCTCAGAATCCTCCGTACATCTCTAGGCAGCATTTGTTCTGAAACTGATTTCCATCCTGGAGACTTGAGGGTCTTCAAATGTATAGCCATCATGCATAGCCATCACTTTTTTGAGAGATTTTTTTGCTGAGACTGAATAGTGGTAGTAAGGAGAAGAAAACCAGGACCCATTTAGGAAATGTAGAGTATCTGTGGCAAAAATGGGATTGTAGTTCTAGATTAGGAACAGGAAAGGTGTGGTGGAAATCACTTAGGATCATACATACGTACTTAATGAGTGTACATGTAAATACAGCATACATGAGGTATAGACAGGATTAATCTTTTTTTTTTTTAATTGTCATAACTGGAAGTTTGTATTATGGATTACCTACACCTATTTCACCCTCAGCCCCACTGTAGTTATTCTTGATGTTTAGGTTCTGCCTGAAAATTCTTTTAAAAATTAGAGAAACTTAAAAAAAGTCACTGTTACTAAAGAAACCAAAAATAAATGAAATGCCTCTTGTAGAAAAATAAATGTAAGTAGAACTGCATTTCCTTTGATGCTTTATTCATTTGTATGTTTTTCCTGATTTCTGCTATTCCTATATTTTTTCTATCTTAAAAGCAGGTTATTATCTATGATAACTGACAATGACAGTCACTCTCACATAAAGCATTACCGAACCACAAAGAAATATAGGAGATAAACTATTTGATTTGTAGAATGTAGGCTGTCATTGCTGGCAGCATAATTACTGCAGTTTTTTAAGGGGATATTTAAATTATTTCTCTGTTTTCTTTACACTGCCTCGTCCTCATCCACTGTGACTATTTATATTGTATACTAGAGTTTAAGAAACGAATCTATTGAGATATTTAAATAGCCTGGAAAAAATTGTTAATAGAGACTAAGTATAATATCTATAATTGTTTTTCTCCTCCAGTTCACCACAAGAGTTCCTAGAAAAAGTCCCAATTACTTATTAATCTCTTTTCTGCCCTCCAGTGGGTCATATAGAACCAAGAATTAGTTTTTCTTTGTTTTATTCCAGTATTCCTGTTCTTTCCTTATAGTGTTTTTAACTTTAATAAGTGTGGGTTGGGGGATCAGCAGTCTTTTTCTGTGAAGAGTCAGACAGTAAATTTTTCAGGCTTTGGTGGTCCTAAAATATGTCCCAACTACTTAACTTGTAGGGCCATAGCAGCCATGACCAGAGGTAAACGAATGGGTGTGGCTGCATTTCCTTACAACTTTAGTTCTGGAAACAGGTATTGGGCTGCTTCTAGCCTCTAGGCTATCTTTCACAGAAACTTGATACTATTTATTGCTCATTACTAGTAAGCTAACAGGGCACATATTGTATAGAAGATGAGAAAGTCAAAGATTCATTTTACAGATTTGCTCACTCAAAGCTATGTTGTTATTCATATGTCTCATGAATTGTTGAAGTATCTTAGATTATTATTTTTCTCGTCTAAAAGAGTGAACAAATTCACAGATGGGCTTTGTTCAGAACTGCATGGTGGTACTTCAGTGTATCACAAAAAAGTAACAAAAATGCAATATTTTGATTTCAAGAAGAGAAGTGATGTAGGGTTTCATCTAAAAGTTACACTTGAGAATTTGCTTTGCTTTCCTTTATTCTGTAGTTATTTTAAGAATCAAAGATTCTAGGAAATAAAATTATAACTCTTAAATATTCAACTTTAGAAGTTATTTCCTTTTTGCCTTTTTGTTACAATGGCTTTATCTTGTTTAAAGATTGACTGCTTTTGAATTAATATGGGTTAGTTGTGAAAAAACAAAATTAACAATTGTAGGTAGTTTTAAGGTCAGGGGCAAAAATAAAAATACAGTATAGATCATTAATTCATCACTCTAATTAGATTTTTTAATTGCATAGATTTGCCTGAATTTTATTTTATGTTCTTCTTTTCTTCACTCCTATAACACCTTTGTCTTTCTTCTTTCTTTTTTCTTTCTTTGTTTCCTTTGTTTCCTTTGTTTTCTTTTCTTTCTTTCTTTCATAATGATGTGGTTTGACAGATTTGCTAAACTTGACCAGTAGTCGGTGCTGAAGGAACTAAGGTGTGTGGGATTTTAAGTACAATTCAGTGTATCTCACCAAAATAGATTTGAGGGCTTTAATTACTCTTTCAAAATGAAATTGGTAGACATAGTAGAGATGGTTATAAGTACTTTAATTGTTACGCTTTTAAGATGTAGATACATTTAATATTTTTTTCATTCACATGGACCTGTACTTTAGTTCAATTTCAGTATATGGAATATTCATTGTACAAATGAAATTAATTAGAAATGTTTTAATCTAGAGAATGCAGCACTCTCCTGATCTAATGAGCTTTCTGATGGAGTTGAAGATGGTTTTGGTAAGAATTTGTTTTCTAGTGCTGTTACCATATTCTATAAGTCTTGATGTTTTAAAAAAATTCCTTTAAAAACTAACATCATTGGAATTTAAAACTTCTCAACTCCCAGTCACTTAATGTTTTATTTTACTGTGTGTGTAAATGTGGGTGATGCTTTTTTTGAATTGCGTGAGGAACAGAAATGTGTACAGGAACCAATTTGACTGTGTCATAAAATGGGTACATTTGACACTAGTCTTAGGTGGTGAAGAAATAAAATGTACTCCTGGTTTGTCTGAGAATTTAACATCTATGAAGAGATAGTCAAACCTAAAGATATATGTATAAATTTGTATATAGCTGCAGATTTCTGAAGAACTTCTTAGGCTTATTACATACATATACTTACATATAGTAATTGATTATTCTGTTAATCAGTTATGCATAAAATACTTTTTAGTTTATCCTGTGGACATTGTATTATTTAAAAAATTGTTATGCAAGTTTTCAACATAAGCAGAAGAGGGAAGACTGCAGAGTGAAAACTGATGGGTCCATGACCTGACATTTTGTCATTTTTCCCCCTACTCTTTAAGGAGAAAGGGACTAGAGTATTTTTAAGGAAATCCTGGACATTGTATTCATCCCTCCATGAATATATTGGTGTATACTTATAACAGCTAAGTGTTTTTTTTAATGTTGTTAAATATACTATTATAACCCTGACAAAGTTAGTGGTAATTTCTTTTGGCTTCTCTGTATCTGTATGAGAATAAGGTCCACACATTATATGTGTTGATATGTCTCCTAAGTCTCTTAATTTCTAGCAGCATTTCATCTTTCCCCCACCCTTTTTTTTTTTCTTCATGCCATTTACTTGTTAAATAAACTAGATCATGTGTCCTATAACATTTCTTGCATTCTGGATTCGGTTTATTAGATATTCATGGTGTCTTTTAACATAGTCTTCTGCCTTTTTTTGTAATTCAGTCTCAACAGAGTTGGGTTCATTTTCTGGTAAGAATACTTTGTGCTGTGTACTTAGATTGCATGAGGGAGGCACATAGTATCTGATAATTCCTCTTTTAGTAAAGTTAAGATTGATCAATAGATTTAGATCCATTGAATATAAAGTTTCATATCAACCTGTCACCTAATGGTTTTAGCATCCAATGATAATCATTGCAGATGGTGATTTAAAAAATTCTGTCATCTACATTTATTATCTGGAGGTCTGTAGAGAAGAACTTCCCTTCATCAGTTATTTGGTTAATTTGAGGTATAGCTCATACTGGAGAAATAGGTTAAGTGCTTGTTTCTTTTCCCTTTTTTTTTAAAAAAAAAATCAATTTTTAGAGTAATGAGTTAGTGCCTAGCAACTGTCAAAGGAAACTAATGATTTTTTTTTTTTTTTAGTAGCATTAAGAACTCATGGACTTTTATATATTGACTTTAGTCCATTGCAATCACTATACCTTTTGATGCTTAAATTGTTATCATTTTTGGTCAGTGTATCCCCCTTCATCTCGGCTTTTTAGTTCTTTTAACACAGCCCAAAGTTTGCTTTCTGACACCAGTTGCCCCAGTTTAATTTACTCATCCTTTTGCAGAACTATAATCAGTTACTTCTCTGAAGAGCCATGGTTTCTTTATAGGAGATGGTGTTTGGATGCCACAGATCTAGGAACTGGGGTGTTCATTGCTATTACTGCTAGGTCTTGTCAGTGGACAAAAACTAGGAAAAAATACTGTTTAGAAAGAGTAATTTATCATGAATTCATATTGATATTTCCAAGTCAAATTTGGCATTATAGCATTTTTACTTTGATATTCATGCTTGTGTTTCTTTTACTCTGAAAATCTTGGTTTCTAATATTAACATAATTATTTTTTGTTATGTTTTACTTGTTATGTTTTACTTATGCTTTCCTTATATCTCTATATTTATATTTGTCTTACAAAATTATAGTACCAATGTATTGGTACTAACAACAAGCAGTTTATTTTTTTTGTAGTTCTTTTTGAGTTTTTTATTCTTAGTAGCATTTGCCACATACTAAGAGCTTAGTTGCCAGTTGTTCTGAGTCCTTTTTTCAATCCTCCTAACAAGCCTCTGAGGTAGGGCTTTGATCAAATGTTTGGGATCAGAATAGATTATAGTCAGTTTCTAAAGTTTGACTTATAAATTCATAAACCCTAATAAGAATTATCAAAATTGATTATGAATTTCATCAAAGGCCAAAATATGATAAACTTAAAAAAGATGAGGTGAAGATGTGAAGCATATTTTGGTTTATCCTTGACATTGCAAAAAAAGTCTGTAATGGGGCGCCTGGGTGGCGCAGTCGGTTAGGCGTCCGACTTCAGCCAGGTCACGATCTCGCGGTCTGTGAGTTCGAGCCCCGCGTCGGGCTCTGGGCTGATGGCTCAGAGCCTGGAGCCTGTTTCCGATTCTGTGTCTCCCTCTCTCTCTGCCCCTCCCCCGTTCATGCTCTGTCTCTCTCTGTCCCAAAAATAAATAAACGTTGAAAAAAAAAAAAAAAAAAGTCTGTAAGGTTTTTTTTTTTAAATCTTTTTAGCATACTTTAAAAAAATGGTACAAATAAAAGGACTAAGGGACCAAGGTAAAACTATATATACTGTGTCCCATTAAGCTCTTATTACTAAAGCTAACTTTATTAGGTTGTAAGAACAGCTCTATTGGTCATTTAATTTTGAAGAAACTTACTGGTTTAAAATGTTGACATTGATCTCTGATTAACAATATTCTATTTAGTACATTTGTTACCGCGTTTCTCAATAAAATGACTTGCTGTATTTTAGCTTTCTAAAGAAATTGACAGATTGGTGATACTATTGCACATTTATGAACAGTATACCTAAGAAAATAAGAATTGCATTAGTTTATTTGTTGGGCTGTGTTGTCGGTAATAGGGTTCCTATAACATAATCACCAATGAAAGTATTGAGGATGATGTTCAAATGAAATGTGTAGTTATTGAACCTTTTCAGGAAATTGGTATATCTCCACAGTTTCCTAGTAATAACTAGGCATATAGGGGAGTTCAGTATATATTTAATTTATATTTACCTGTGTTTTAATAGAACTCTGATGTGGGTAGGTTTTGGTTTTTTTTTATTCCTCTTTAGGGCTTAGTCACTAAGCAGCTAAGGCCTTAATTTAGGAAATGGTAAAGTTAGAATTTAAAACCTTTGTAAAGCTTGTGCTCTTTCTACCATGTGTCTTGCCTCTTCTCTACAAAGAATGCTTTGCTTCTCTGACTTAGACCTTTTTCTTGTTGTGGTTCTGGAATAGGAGTAACTTGTCTGATTCAAGGTAGAAGGTAGAGTTTACAAATGTCATAAACCTAGGATTAAAATACATCTTTAAGTTTATTAGAGCACACATGAGCTGGGGGAGGAGAAGACAGAGAGAGAGACAGGAGAGAGAGAATTCCGAGCAGGCTCTGCGGTGTCAGCCTGGAGCCCTATGCGGGGCTTGAACTCAGGAACCAAGAGATCATGACCTGAGCCAAAATCAAGAGTTGGACGCTTAACCGACTGAGCCACCCACGTGCCCCCCAAATACATTTTTATTATCATCCAAACTTATTTTTACCTTCAATGTCTGTGGATAGCAGTATTTAATATTTCTGGATTTAAAAAAAACTTCAAAAGAATTACTGAAGCTGTTTAATATATATGTAAAGGAACTACACTGACTTGTTTTTGTAATAACAGGATAATCTTGATAGTAAAAATTTATTTTTATGGACCATCAGGCAACTTACAGATAACGTTAGGTATTTAGTTCATTAAAAAAGCAGCATACTTCTTGTCTAATTAAATCCAAATTGACATTTTGGGCTTTACAAACCTGCTTTCAAAGTTTTGTTGTTATTGTTTGTTTTTGTTTGTTTCTATCCTAAAGCAGATTTAGAACTGTGTTAATTTCAGTTAATAGTCCTGATTTTGGAATACTGTTTTTGAAATACTGTTGTGTAAAATCTATTCTTTCTGGTATTGTCTCAATTTAATAGTATTCTATCCTTGTTTAAAAAAGTGTAAGAACTTTATATATGAATAAAACTTAACACCTTTTATTAGGGTTGTAGAAACATGATTTTTATACTTGTTCTCATCTGGTTTTATTATTTATTATATCTGACTTCTTTTTTAATTTATTTTTTTATGATCTCTTGATAATCCAGACCACATGTACATCTGTAATTTGCAAGATACATATATTTTCACTTTCCAAATGAGATATTTGTCTAGGTCAGCTCCTCTGAAGTAATTGATAATATTCAGCCCTAGCAATTCTAATGATGTTAGTATTGCTTGCAAAAAAAAAATCTTAGTTTTTTTGAGGGTACATAAACCATCTTGAAGATATCATGGGTGGGCCTAGCAGGGAAAGGAACTGTGATCTAGCCAGATAGATGAAAAAAACACTTAACCTGGTCTGGGAATAATACAGAATGTTAAGTCAGTGAAAGAAAGTAGCAGGTGAATATTTACTGTAATAAAGGAATTTTGTTTGTAAGGGTGTGATTCAATTCAAGCTTTTCTTAAAGGTACATGTTTCTATCAAAACTTCTATCCACAGGAATAGAAAAATGGTGAAGCCTTGTTTTTTGTTTTTTTCTTTTAACTCTTATCTCTGATAAGCATAGTAGTCTAGGAAAAAATTTGATGTTTCAATGGTAAAATAATTGATATTTTCACATAACATTCTGTGCAGTCCTTCAACTTTTTCAGGTTTCTTTATAGGAGACTGGGAGTGATTCAGCTGGAATTTCTATGAAAGTAATGGACACTTTGGTTAGCCACAAAGGAAATTTTGAAATTGTTTTGTAATCAGGTACTAACAATTCACTGTCTAGCATTCCACAGCAGATTCAAGTTTTTTCTTTTACGCAGGAAGTTGCTTTAAAGAAGAAACAGGAGTTGTGTCCACCACCTCCTCCTCCCCAGTTCTACTCAAGCCTTATTGAAGAGATAGGAATTCTTGGTTGGGACAAGTAGGTCTATTTTAAAATACTTCAGAAGTTTTTTTTTTTTTTTTTTTTTTTTCACATTTCAGTCAATGTATTTGCAGTTTTAGCAATTTATACCCTTTTTAGTCAAAGTATTTGATTATAATTAGGGCAACCGATCATTACTGTGGCTATGAATTAAAGGGATATCATGTTTAACAAACTGATCTACAAGGTAAAATACTAAATATGATTTGGAAAAAAAATAACATTTTTATATACAAAATAAGATGTTACCATATTTTTATTGAATATAAATGTGTTACTGTTTTAGTTTTGTTGAGGTATAATTGACAAAGATTATAATATTTTTAATGTGTACAATATGATCATTTTGATTTATATGCATATTGTGGAAGAATTCCTATAAACTCGTTAACATCTCCATCACCGCACATATTTGCTTTTTTTCCTGATATTTTTTGGGCCATTGTTCTTGTGACTGTTATGGAAGAGAGACTTTTAGGAACTTCTCACTGCCATTGTCCCTGACATCACTCAATATATTTACTGCCATTTTCACTGATAGCTTGCTGTATGTTTTCTGTTTGTCTCACCCATTTTGTGTTTTTCTCTCCCATCTGCTTTCATCTGCCTTTATTTGAAATAATCAAGAATTTTATTAGTTTTTATTCTATTAAATTGTTATACATTCTTTTACTGTTCTTCTAGAATTACCTTAGAAATTACAACATACATATAGCAAAATATACATTGTTACTGTTACCAATTTTCTTATAAATCTCCTTAATGTGTTTTCTCATTTCTTTACATGTTGTATTATTGTTATCATACATTTTAATTCTCTATTTAAAATTGGCAAGCTTTAAAAAAAAATTTTTTTGGGGGGCGCCTGGGTGGCGCAGTCGGTTAAGCGTCCGACTTCAACCCAGTCACGATCTCGCGGTCCGTGAGTTCGAGCCCCGCGTCAGGCTCTGGGCTGATGGCTCAGAGCCTGGAGCCTGTTTCCGATTCTGTGTCTCCCTCTCTCTCTGCCCCTCCCCCGTTCATGCTCTGTCTCTCTCTGTCCCAAAAATAAATAAACTTTAAAAAAAAAAAAAAATTTTTTTTTGAGGGAGTGTGTGCATGAGCTGGGGAGGAATAGATGGGGGGGTGGTGGTAGGGGGAGGAAGGAAGGGAGAGACTTTTAAGCAGGCTCTACTCCCAGCGTGGAGCCTAATGTGGGGCTCTAACTCACAATTGTGAGATCATGACTTGAACTAAAATCAAGAGTCAGATGCTTAACTGACTGAGCCACCCAAGCGTCCCCCCCACCCCCCAAGTTGGCAAGCTTTGTGGTTCTATTTAAAGTCAGTATACATATATTTGTGTGTATATATGTGTCCCAGAAACAATGATTTCTCCCAGTGTTCTTCACTCTTTCCTGCATTTCTGTCCTTCTGTCTGGAATCTTTTTCTTCCTGACACAAGACTTTTTTTAATATTTTTTTTGAGATATAATTGACATATAATACTAGTTTTAAGTAGACAACATAGTGATTTGATAGATGTATATGTCATGAAATGATCACAACAATAAGGCTAGCCAACATCCACCATCACACATACTTACACAATTTTTTTCTTGTGAGGAGAGCTTTCAAGACTTACTTTCGGGGCACCTGGGTGGCTCAGTCAGTTGAGCATCTCTTAATTTTGTCTTAGGTCATGATCTTAGGGTTCATGAGATGGGGTCCCATGCTATTAGTGTGGAGCTTGCCTGGGATTCTCTCTCACCTCCCTCTGCCCCTACCCCGCTCATGTTCACTCTCTCTCTTTCTCTTTCTCAAAATAAAATAAACATTAAAAAAAATTTAGTCTCTTAGCAACTTCCAAATATATAATACAGTATTAATTATAGTCACTGTGCTTTACATTACATAACTGGAAGTTTGTATCATTTTACCACCTTCACTCATTTCACCTCTGCCTCTGGCAACCACCAGTGCATTCTCTGTATTTGAGTTCTGTTTTTTTCTTTTATTTTGCTTTTTCTTTTTTTAAAGATTCCATGTACAAGTGAGGTCATGTAGTATTTCTTTCCTCTGTCTGACTTGTTTTACTTAGCATAATGCCCTGAAGGTCCATCTGTGGTGTCACAATAGCAGGATGTCCTTTTTTGTGGCCGAATAGTATTTCATTGTATATTTGGTGTATATAATTATACCAAATTTTCTTTCTCCATTCATGATGTTAGCGGATACTTAGGTTGTTTCCATGTCATGGCTACGGTAAATATTGCTGCAGTGAACTTGGGGATGCAGCTATCTCTTCAACATTGTGATTTTGTTTTCTTTGGATGTATACCCAGAAATGGAATTGCTGGACCATATGGCAGTTCTATTTTTAATTTTAGAATGTGTACAGATTTATAATTGCTGTATCTTCCTGTGGATTTTCGTTTTTATCATTAAATGTTTCTTTTAGTCTCTGGTAATACTTATTCCCTTAATGTCTACTTTGTTAGATATTAATATAAGATTTCAGTGCTTTATTAAAATTCTTTTTCCCTATTTTCTTACATAGTTGTTTAAAAATACTTTTCTACTAACTCTCATAATCTAGATCCACCAGAGTTTTTAATTTTTTTTTCTTATAGTTTTCAGTCATATAGTTAGTCCTGGGTCTTGGCATTCCTAGTACTTTTTTTTTTTTCCTTCTCTTTTTTCCAAATTGTCTGTCTGCTTTCTTCCTTTTTAGAGCAGTTTAGGTTCACAGCAAAATTGAGAAGAAGGTACAGGGATTCTTCTTGTACTTTTTGCCCCTATGTATGTGTAGACTGCCCTGTTATTCCCCACACCAAGGTGCTACATTTGTGATAATGGATCAGCTTCTATCCAAACATTGTTGTCACCCCAAAACCATACTTTACATTGGGGTTTACTCTTAGGCATGTACATCTTATGGTTTTGGACAAATGTTTAATGATCTGTATTTCCTCTGTGCTCCAAGTATCCATCCCTGCCTTCTTATCCCCTAACCTCTAGCAGCCACTGATCTTTTTATTGTCTCCACAGCTTTGGATTTTCCAGAATGCCTATAGTTGGAATCCTACAGTATGTAGCCTTTTCAGATTGGCTTCTTTTAGTTAGTAATATGTGTTTAAATTTCTTCTTAGTCTTTTCATGGCCTGTTAGTTCATTTGTTTTTACCACTGAATATAATTCCATTGTCTGGATATACCAATTTTATTGATCCATTAAGTTAGTAAAGGACATCTTGGTTGCATCCAAGTTTTGGCATTACTAATAAAGCTGCTATAGACATCTGTATGTAGGTTTTCATGGTTTTTTTTTTTTTTTCATCTACATTGGTAAATACCTGGACCTGCTACTTTTTTTTCTTAAGTTTTTATTTAAATTCCAGTTAACATACAGTAGTATGTTAGTTATGTTAGTTAGTATGTTAATTAGTTTCAGGTGTACAATATAATGATTCAGTACTTCCATACACCATGGGGTGCTTATCACAATCAGTGCACTCCTTAATCCCACCCACCTCCCCTCTGGTAACCATCAGTTTGTTCTCTGTAGTTAAGAGCCTGTTTCTTGGTTTGCTTCTTTTTTTTTATTTTTAATGTTTTTGCTCATTTTTTTAATTCCACATGAGTGAAATCATATGGAATTGGTCTTTCTCTGATTCTTCTATTTCACTTAGCTAATACTGTCTAGTTCCATCCATGTCATTGCAAATGGTAAGATTTTATTCTTTTTTTATGGCTGGATAATATTCCATTGTATATATACCACATCTTCCTTAACCATTCATCAGTCAGTAGACACTTGGGCTGTTTCCATAATTTGGCTATTGATGACAATGGTGCTATAAACATTGGGGTGCATGTATCCCTTTGAATCAGTATTTTTGTATCCTTTGGGTAAATACCTAGTAGTGTAATTGCTGGGTGTAGGGTAGTTCTATTTTTAACTTTTTGAGGAACCTCCATACTGTTTTCCAGAGTGACTGCACTAGTTTGTCTTCCCACCAACAATGTAAGAGGGCCCCCCTTTCTCCCCCCTTCTCCCCAATACCTGTTGTTTCTTGTGTTGTTGATTGTAGTCATTTTGACAGGGGTGAGGCGGTATGCCATTGTGGTTTTGATTTGTATTTTTCCCTGATGATGAGTCATGTTGAGAATCTTTTCATGTGGGCCCAATACTTTTTTTTTTTTTTAATAATAAAGAGTAAAGGGTTTTTCTTTATTTTCACAATAGAATGGCTTGAATACTCTATAACAACAACAAAAATGTAAAACCTGAAATTTCCTGGTCTCTACTCAATAAGATGACTACTTTTTCTTAAAACAAAAAACAAAAAACAAAAACAAAAACTGGTAAAAGGGGAGAAGTGAAGAAATGAACTTAATATGCACATATTTTAGTTAATGCACCTTTTCTCACTGACTGTTGCTGGCTGTTCTTCAGTATTTGCCCTTGTTCATTAAGGCTAAGTGCTATGCCTGATAATCTTTGCTGAGTGTTAGAAGTTGTGTATAAAAAAGTTGAGAGGCTCTAGATGAGGATATTTTCTTTGACGAAGTGTTTACTTTTTCATTTGCTAAGAAATAGAGTGGGGGCAGGTTACTGTAATCCTGCTAGAGACTGAACTGGTTCAGGTTGGGTTATATAGTCTTTGTAAGATTCACTGTAGTACGTACTGTTCCCCTCTCTCTCCTAAGCTATAAGTCTTCAGAACTTTCCAGCGGGAGCTAGGTGTGTTCATTGGAATTTCTCCTTGGTAGATCCTAAACTCTTATGTGTGTCTTTTTTTTTTTTTTTTTTTTTTTTTTTTTTTTTTTCCACTCATTTTTGAAAGACAGACAGAATCCAAAGTAGGCTCCAGGCTCTATGCACAGAGCCCAATGCAGAACTTGGACCCATGAACCACGAGATCATGATCTGAGCCGAAGTCGGATGCTTAACCGACTGAATCACCCAGGCACCCTTTATATGTGTCTTTTCACAAATCCAGTTTACCTCCCAGTT